ACGTGGTTTCGTCTGCACGCGCTACAAGCACGCGCTGTTGTGTTCGTCGCTGCTCGTGGTTTTATAGGCGCTGATTTTGTCAAATTTTCTGGTGTTTGAGCTACAATATTGTGGTAATTAGTGTGAACCTATCTCAATAACTTTTTGGAAAATGAAGTATCAATTAAAGGAAAAGAATGAGAAAAATCTAAAAAGGCTTCCGCTCCATTACTAATAATGTTGTAACTAATAATGTTGTAATTCAATGTAGAAAGATTTTACAAAACAATTTTGTTGTTAGTATTCATATAATCTAAGAAATATGACATTTAAGAAATGTACAACTATATCATATGTTATTTTATGGAAAAAAATGATAATAAACTTACATGTAGAACAAATATTGATTTTCTAACTCTTTGATAACAAAATAGAGAAATTGACAATTTCAAACATTAAGTGGGAGGAAATGCTATGTTTCTTGATACATGTTTAGAAATATAACTTCAATCTTAAAATCAGTTAAAAAAAATTGTCTTTTAAAATTTTCATTAAAAACATTACTATCTTCCAAATATATATCTGATTTTAATGTACAGTAGTTCTTAAATGTTTTAACGTTTTTTACTTCAAATAATATTGTTTTGTTACCGAATTTTCACTGTAACCACGTGAAACTATGTAAAAGTAAATGCATTTGGGCTGTACGTATGACATTGTAATATGAAGGTATAATTTTAATGTTGCTAGTTGTTTACGTCACTACTATTGCCATTACATTCAGTGATTTACGCGAATTACGATTTACGAGTAACATTAGTACAAAACACATTACTAAGGATTCTGTACGGTCTGGTACGGGAGGAGGTCCATGGGGGTGACACCACGAGTTACCGCACTGGGTGACACCAACCTTAGTGACGCGACTGGCGTGCATTGCATTTTTATTTTTTATTCGCCTGCAGCTACTCGCTAAGTTAGGATACTTCACAAAACGGACAATTAGTTAAATATTGATGTTCATTATAATTGTTTTTTTACCATTCTATCTGGCAACAAAACTGACACCTTTTTACAAGGAGTCATGTTTGCATAGACCGCAATACCTGCAGTCATAATACAAACAAAAGACATAACTCTGATAATGTATGCACTGTCCTTGAAGTTGATTGGTCCACACCCGAGACAGCTTTCCTTAGAGCCTCAAGGACAGTGCACATTATCAGAGTTATGTTATTTGTTTGTATTATGACTGCAGTTATTGTGGTCTATGCAAACATGACTCCTTGTAAAAAGGTGTCAGTTTTGTTGCCAGATAGAAGGGTAAAAAACTAATTATCATATTTTTACTGGCAAATGAGGTTCCCATGGTGTAATTGATGTTCATTATTCATACTTTTTTTTTCTCGGAACCATGTTGGGTCAGGCAAGGGGCGACTCGGTTGAAATAAAATTCAACAAGGGGTGGTACAGTCGCCAAAAAATGTTGAGAGGCACTGCTCTCGAGAACACCTCGAGACGGCATTTGGCCTACTCTTCCACGCTGGTCAGATGACTTGGAAGGGGTGCAAGTACACACACACTACCCCACCACACTAAAATTGCCCATCGGCTAATCCGATTTGCCAAATGTGAAAATGCTCCCGCAAATTAATGACACAGCAACTATTGCCCCCCATCATTCAAAAACTTGTCAGGACCCTGAGGCATTCCTGGGCACACATCGTAACGCAGCAATACCCCGGTTTAAGTCGGGGGATGCGTTCCTGAAAGGTGCAAGGACGAATATCAAAACGACGTCAATCAAAGCGACATAGTAGTGGGTGATGGAGGCGAAGGCTGAGAGACGACAGGATAACGAGAGAGGACGCGTGATGCGGTCAGCGACGTCAGTGTGGGGTTGAGGTCGACGCAAATTACATAGTGGTGTTAATCATAAAGTCACGTAGAAGGGAAGTAATAAAATAATAAAACATAATAAAATAATTCTCACGACGTTTCGGCCACAACGCAAGCAGACGGCTGCTTGCGTTGTGGCCGAAACGGCTGCTTGCGTTGTGGCCTAAAACGTCGTGAGAATTAATTTATTGTGTTCTATTTTTCTTATTTTATTACTTCCCTTCTACGTGACTTTACCGAAAGAACCAAGAAGATGAATCCCTGCAGTCACGAAAGCTTTAAATCGAAAGTTAATCATAAAGTGACGATGTATTTTAGAAATGACGTTAACGGGGGAGAGACGTAAATTTGCGTGTTACTGTCTTAATATTCGCCCAAGACGAGCACGCATTTTATCAGCTCTGGAAGGAAACATGCACAGGGTTAATCCTTATCTGTGATATGAACTCATGATCCCCCGCGGACGATAAATTGTGCCTCAGGCACTCTGCCATTGCACCACCTGGCCTGTGTAATGAGCGACTCCCAAACAGTTCCATTCGTCCGGATGTCTATGCACAACTTTCGCACATTCAAAAAGAAAACCCACTTCAACTGTGCTCTAATTATACAAACAGATGACACGCGAGGCGCTGCGTATGCCTATGACCCCCCCCCCCCCCCCCAGCATCTAATGTGATCTCTAGCCACCATCCGCAGAGTAATGGGTAGAGGGGGGAGCCGTGTGTGCATATGGGAACGGCGGCTTTATGAGAAATATTATTGCTGTTGTTACCGCAGGGTTTACGAGACCCCCCCCCCCCCGCAATGATACTTTTCGTCGTTGTAAACATTCGCGTAGGCTGCTCAAATGATTATTGCATTCCCCCTGCCCCCCCCCCCCCCCCGACGCCGATGCCACCATAGTCAAAAGGTCAGGCCCTTTTCCTCCAAGCTTCCAAGAAAAACTGCCGTGATGGGAGTAAAAAAAATACAATTATACACAACACGAAAACATGTGGACTGGTTTAGGATTTGTTTTAATAAATTGGAAAGTAGGCCTGTGATTAATCACGGGTCTGGGGCTCTCTGAAAATGCTCAACAATATTCTATTTATAATACAGACATTGGGCATTGCTAATTCATGGGATGTAATGCAATATTGATTACATTTTTCATTCGTTGATTACACATTTATCGAAAGCATTGTGGAGAATTCTGTATTTTAAACCTCCTTCAAAGGCAGTCGTTCAGTCTTCACGGGTGGACAAATAAACCAAACTACAATTGATAGAGCAGCATATGCTTTATATAGCGTAGATTACACATCACACAATGGCATGAGAATGAGTGCATGTACAGTATATCTCAAAATAAGGACCTTGGGAGTAGACAAGCGGAGTGTCTATGTTTATTAAATGTTTAAAAGTGAGAATTGTCAACCCTGCTCGACAAATTTAGACAGTCAAAAGCCTACTTGCTGGACTGCATCTTAAAGTCAGTTCACTGCCATGAAAGTGCATACGATGGCTTTATCCCCATGTGATCCACTGACAATACTGGTTTACAGGCATGCGCCACCACAATACAATCTACGTAGTAAGCGGCTAGTCTGTATGTACGTCTGGAGAACTCCTTTGAGACCTCAACCAATTTCAAGAAATGAGGAGCCATTTCAAGGCTTATGGAATGTAATGTATGGGAAGGAGATCACAATTATGAAAATAATTTAACCTTTGACCCGATATTCACATAATTTGGCTGCTCATCTACTCTGCCATTTAAAATAGTCCAATGCTTGAAGGGAGTCTCATTTCATAATCATGTCTTGTATGTATGTACTGTACATTGAACTTCTTTCACACCGTGCATAGCCAACCGTGCATATCAGAGGTGCAGGAGAAGGACAACAAACTATACACGAAGAGCAGTTCTAAAAAAATGAGTTTTCAATCTAGATTTTCACGTGCATAGCTCCAGTGGCTTTCTAATATCGGAAGGAAGAGCGTTCCAGACGGCCACAGAAGCGCGTCTGAAAACGCTCGATGCGGTGAGCATCGTTGGCGTGTGCTTCTGAATCTCAATGGACTTCCCACTCGTGCAGCATACACGTTTGTTCATTAAATGGTCAGACGGCTCCGGTTTGAGCTGTGGTCTCACGGTCGGCGAGGCTGGGAGTTCAAATGTCAGTCAGCGCATAAAATCGGTAACACTGTGGGATGGCTAAATTGTTAGTAGTACGCGTGACGTGAGGCCTGCCAAAAAAAATGTGGAATTCGCACCAGACTCACCACCAAAAATGAATGAGCATTATTCTCATGTTCGTTTAACACGTAGGAGGCTTTAGCGACCAATATCATCCATAATACAGCAAATTTGTTTGTTAGATCGCGTAAATATAAATGTGTCATTAAACCTGCCACCACCCGACACGGCCAATTAGTAAGGTTTGTCACGTAAACAGAACATGCCAATTCGTTACTAGTACAGCACACCGGTGTGTTGGAGAGCCAAGCCACAACATTAACAATCTGAGTACGACGTTTCGCCAGTAATTACAACCGGCATCATCGGGCGGCAGCCAAATTTGTCAAATTATGTTCCTTTGAAAGGGGGAGACACTCGGCCTTGATTGAAGCGAGGATTATGAGATTTTGATGCTGGACTGTGTATGTGTTTGTATGTGCACCTAGGTTGGCACAAGGTCTGTGGTGATGTCACCGCCACTAAGTAGAGAATGGCGGCTGCTGTTGTTGTTGGGAGATGTAGTGTGGTGGTGATGGCTTGTAGTGCATTGCAGAAATATGGTAGACCTAGTTTTAGTTCACACTTGCTAATAACGGCAGTATCAACTGAACCGTTCCTGGGCTCTAACCCAGGCCTACTCAGCCATATAAATGAGTGCTTGGTACTGGGATGACAGATAAACATAATTCACTACGGAGTGGATTACTGATAAAAGACAAAACAAGAAGCTGGAGACATTACCGATACGAACTGTAGGCAGGAATCAAATGTAAGACCGTGGGTTCACAACGCGGCGTGCTAACTGCTGCGCCACCGCCCCACCGGCGCATGCGAGGCGAAACGGACGATGGAGCAGCGAACGCGTCACCAGCATACCACGGCGCCTCCCACCCACCTTGATGCCGTTGCGGGTGATGCCCTCTCTGTACTCGAAGTCGCAGAGGGCCCAGGCGAAGAAGTAGGTGGACATGGGCGGGCTGCGCTCGAAGTGGTCCACCACCCAGCCGGGCTCGGGCGCCGGCTCCTGGCTGGCGAGCGGCATGTTGGAGAGTGCCAGCATCGCGTCCGCGTGGTGCAGGCTCAGCGTGAAGGTGGCCTTGTAGAGCGGCTCGTCGAAGCAGGGGAACGCCTTGCGGGCGTGCGTCGGGGAGAACTGCGTCACGCCGAGGTACCTGGGCGCACGCTGGACCCGTGTTAGCTCCGGCGGGTCCCAGGCAGTGGGCCACGGCTCGCCACGCATACATGGCGGGAACAGCTCCGATTACATATCTGTCAACCCCTTATCAGTGCCTACCTTATTACAGACTAATTCAGACCTTATTGGTCACCCCGTGCCCTTATAAATCTCAATGTTCATTCAGCAAAGTCCCATGTCAAGGGAGAAACCAAAAAAATGTTTTACTCAATTTCCCTGTACAAGAATACGGGTAAACCATATGGGTTGACAGGTATGCAATAAGCATTGGTTGGCTACATATGGTCCTTGAAAGAAGTTTAACATACATGCAACACCCTTGTTTTTGGGATTTGTTTTCGTCTATTCCCCCCCCCCATCCCCCACGACAGTGCTATGGTGTCTCATCAAGAAATGTCAGAAATTTCGCATTGCAGTGGCACCTTTATCACGAGATCTCTGCAAGTGACCTCTGGTTCAAACAGTAGTAGGCAGACATGCTACTGCTGGCGAGTAAGATTTGTCACATGGTATCCAAACCATTATTTATCATTCTCATAGCTGGAATTTTGCCAAATGAAGTGCAAACCCCTACTTTAAATGAGATAAATTGCATTTGGACAGTCATTGGTGACTGGGCTTAGACCATCAATTCACTATCCTTGAGAACTTTGCTTAAATTCGGCCCATGGTCTTGATCATAATCCAGAATCGGAGCAGTGCCAAGAAGCGCAGTTTCGTGACCTCTGGGCCACTCAGCCACCTCTCAGCAGAAGCCCTCTTAAATAGCCAATAGGTTAACGATGCATGCCTCTTGCCGAGGTTGGTGCAAATTTCTAGGTGGCTGGGTAGCTCAGAGGGCCTTGCACTCGTGCCACAGCACTGAGCTCGCCCTTCAGAGGTTGTGGTTTAAACTAGTAATTGCCGTGCCAAATATTTACCTAGGCAGGTCCCAGGATCCTGAAAAGGCTCATTAAAACGATTATTGAAGCCCCAGGTCTATGAGGGGTAATACTCCAAACACTTCCATCTCCCTGGCCACCTTGCAGCACAATGACTGCAACACCTGGCAAACCCTGGTGGTCACCCGTCCAACTACCATCCAGGTCCAACCTGCTTGGCCTCCGAGATTTGATCAAATTTGGTCAATGATCGTGATTTTGGTTCGTAGTGGTTTCAGCCGCTAATGAATAAACCAACCTATCACATATCAAATAAGTCGGTCTCATCCTAGTCAACAATGGTTGCACATAGAAAAAAAAACATTGCGGGAAATATGTTTTCTCACTAAATGATCCATAGTCCACATCGAAGAACTAATAATAATGACTCTTGTTGCCATGCAGGGGACAATCTTTGATGGGCACCGCAGGGTGTGCCACAACACGTGGATAAAAGTGACTTCGAAAGTAGTTCTGCGAGCCACCTGTCACAGGCTCTTGCCTGACATGAGATACACCAGTCACTGAATTCCAAACAGAATTTCTTCATCTCGACATGATGCCAAGAACCCAGTTGGAATGGACACAATTATTATTATATATATAAATATATTCTATATCCACATATGCGGATCCTGCCTTTTTATTGTAAAACTAAAATTAAATATGTTGACATTTTATGCACTAACAACAAATATATTCTATTCAAGGGATTGTTATCTTGGCACAGAGAGAGGCTTATTTTATTATTGAGCTCTTCACAATAGTAGAGCCACGTATCACTGGGAGACAACAATCAAGTAACAACAAACATCACAGGCTTCCTACTGGCATCCTTCAATGCTCAGTCTATCATACACAAACTCATTATATTTCATGAAGCCTCCACATTCCACTGTGTGAAATGACAAGAGAGAAACTGCACTTTGTTAAATGGCCACAAAAATCCATAGACACGTAAAAATAAAGTGATGAACATAATTTATTTAATATGCAATGATTTTAATTGTACTTTATCTTACTTACAAGGGGGCTTAGGCAAGGATACGTGCTCATTAATTAAACGTGATACAAAAAATAAATGTTGACTCTTCACATCTGTCAATGTAAAAGAATCAGAGCATTGCATCAATTGTATACAATAATGAAAGGACGTAACTGGGCAGTTCCGTGAATTTTGGATGAACATTTCAGACACCATGAAGACGTGGCGAATCATTAGTATAACGATTCAAGTGGCTTTATATTTGAGCGTAGTATGTTAACCAATTAGGACTGCGATTCAGACAGAAATAATACCGCCAGATTTCTTTACGAGGGGAGAAATGCTGGAAAAATGTTTATCTTTCATCGGCGCTGGGATGGCAACGGTGCATCGAGTTTGACGTATGTGTCAAACCATTAATTTATTCCATATATATACGCCATATTATATTAAATTGCAAATAATGGGATTCACACTGACACCCCAAGTGTATTGGTCGGATGGGTTTGGAAATGTTTTAACTTCAGTTGTCTTCTTCGTGAAACTACCCAACTTTGAATGAATTGTTTAAAGTAGAAGGGTGCATCCCCAAAACAACTCATTCACGCGGGGGCGATTTCAAAAACGTGCCCCATTGTTTCAAGATACAACCTCCGACATTGCAAGCTCGGTGTGCTATCCACTACACCACAGCAGCATCCCAATGAATTAAAAGTACGTTAAACTGTATGCACGTATGTACGTCGAACTTCTTTCGCACCGTACGTAGCTAACCGCGCTAATGGGAGGTGCGGGGAAATGCCGCTTCACCGTAATGCCCCCCTCGTCACCTCTCCACTGGAGGTACACATCCTCAGTGCGGCACGGAAGCCCAGCAGCACGAGTCACGTGCTTAAGCGCTTGATGTATCGTACGGAAACCTCGCACAGCCTTCAACCAAAATGCATTTGACTCTCAAAGCCTGAAGCCGAGTGCCCAGAGGCGGGCGCCGATGATGCCCATGATGGCACCCTCATGGCGATGCATCGAAAGCTCCGTGGCGAGCCAGAGGCTTGGATTGTGGCCAAAAGGGCACGAGGACCTGACATGGTCAATTGTCTCGAGTCCAATTTTTGTCAAATTTGACAAGCACAGAGGGGAAAGAAGAAACGAAAAAGAAAGAAGAGCCACTGCCATATTCATTTCAGATAGTCGATTGTGTACTATAAATTCAAAGTTGTTTAGGGTAATTGGGAATTTGTACAAATTTTTCATGCCTTATACCATAATTCTACATTAAAGTTAACACTAGGGAATGGAGATATTTTGGAATGGAAGTAAATCATCCGGTGGAATTCTGAATCAGGGTTGCATGGTGCTTTTGATTTGTCTGTTAACACATGCAAATGAATCGCTGTATGTCATATATTGCATGTCTGTGCCTGGATGATATATATATTACAAAGGTCAAGCTTGATGTCAAAATTGTTATACGCATCCGCTAGGGAGGTGATTACTCATGAAGGTGTAGTATGTGTGAGGCTTGTTTTTCTGTAGCCCGTGATGCCACTTACACAAGAAATTCTGGCACCTTTATAGGTGTGCATTTCAGCGCTGGTACATTAAAAGATAAATTCTCGTTATTCAAAGCGTGTGCACAAATCTCTTTAAATGTGCATGCAAACGTATGTTGTCGCTGCTTATGCACCTATGAATGGTGTGGATAACAAGCAGGGTTATTCTCAAATGTATCAAATAATTACAGATTTAAAAAATATTTTCTGGTCAAAGGTTAAAGTGATTTTTTGCTCATAATAAGCATGAAGGTGGTGCTCATCTACTGTTTACATTACAGCCCTGGGCCAGTGGTGGAAATTCCACGTTACTATGATGGGGCCAAGTTTATCCAAAGGACAACCACTGCTGATTCTCCACAAAGCAATATTTCTTTTATCGACCCCAGGAGGGATGATGGACTGAGTCGACCCCCAACCAGGATTTGAACTTTCCTATTGCGAGCCATTCCCTCTACCACTGAGCCAGCCTACGCATGCAGATTTCATTAAAAAAAAATCATCATCAAGACAGCAATTTTGCCCACGATTACAGCACACGTGTGATTGGTATTGCATTACATAATTCACAACAGCATTTCCATTCGTGTTCCCTGGTGACCTTTATGTTACTTGAACAGAAACGCTGTTTGCTCCACGGGAATACGATAAAGGAATAGTCGTGCACGTGAGCTGGGATTTCAGTGTGTTGCTGGGATTTTACATGTTTAGGAGCTTGCATGCAATGGATGAATTGCAGATGCAAGAAAGCAGAGGTCCCTAAATGTCGAATTATTTCATCATCATCAGCCATGGCCAACGGTCCACTGCGAGATGGAGGCTGGCCGCAAACTGTTGCCATTCTCTCAGTCTTACAATGCAACAATCCGTCGCTCCATCTCCTCACGAACGAAGATCCTTTCAGGCATGTTCTCCCCTTTAGCGTCACTCTGCCATTAGTCTCGATCAATGGCCATCATCCAGTCTACCAACTGTCCTGCCCATGACCACCTACCTGTTATTGATCCATGCGCTGCCATCAGTGTAATATCAAGCGTGCACATTTCCGCACCTTTGCTTATTTGCACACTTTGCAGCTTTGGTTACAATTTTCTTTGTCGATATTTCTGATCCATGTCATTGCTTGTTTATATATATACCGATTAAAATTCGTTCTTTTTAAGGCACATTGGTGTCGCTCAATTTGACAAAGCCACTCCAAACTCCTCTTGACCATGGGCCCATCATCCCTTCTTAGCAATGTGTCCTCCCCCAAACACTCACCCTCGTCAATAACACGGTGTGGCTTGAAAATTTGAAATGTATAACGGGTGACGTTTCGGACAACGAGCCATCTTCCTTGCTTGTGCACCACTGCCAACGCAGCAGCAGCAGCACCTAATGATTTGCCCTACCCAAGCCCACTTGCATTTCTCGTCAATATGGCGTCTGCAACTGATGCATGTTCTCCAATCCATGCGTTCGTCTTTCTGTCTCTCGGTGTAAATGAAAGAAAGAGTTTACAATGTTATTTTGATATGTTTGTGCTACGCCTTAGTACGCCTTAGTACACAATATACACGCCTCGAGGTTACACGAGGATAAGTTGTAATATAGCTTAAACCGCAGCCTCTTTTATTGCCCATATTCCACTCAATCAGAACTGATGTGGCAGCTGTAAGATGATGTAGTGGGGGGTTACGTGTAACCACAGGGCGCTTACAAGTGTAAGGGTCGCGTAAGGACGCCTTAAAGTAATGTCGGGGTCACATAAGGACACCTTAAGTAAAGAATGAATAAATGACTTCAGAGGTACAGCCAGGGGAGTGAGAGCGTGTGATTGGCCGTGGGATCAAAGGGGACACGCGGGAGATGCAAACGAGGGAGAAAGAACGAGCAGAGGCTGAGAAAGAAACCGAGGGACAGGATTGGTGGAAAGGATTGAGAAGAGCCTTCTGGAAGGTTTGAAAAGATTCGGGGGAGAAGGATAAAACAAGACGGTGTGACGTGAGCTCGGAGCTCTTGGAGAGAAAGAGAGACGGCTTCCTGTGAGTATGCGTGTGTTGGAGTGTGAGGGATAGGGGAGCGGTGGTGCAGCGGTTAGCGCCCTGCGCTTCGGAACTGCCAACTCGAGTTCGATTGCCGCTCACGGCCACAACCAGTGACGATTATCTGAACCGGTACCAGGGCTCCCCTAGATTGACTCAAAAGAGTATCTGATGCGATGTGCACGTATCAGCATGAGGGAGATAAAGGCGGCCGGGCGTGGTGCTGGCAAAACCACCCCCTTCGTGTGCCGCGCCGGCCTAAATGTGGTGCTCGCTAACAGCCCTTGCCCAAAATGGTTGTTAAGACTATACAGGGAATCTTTGTTTTTGTAATTTTAGAGGCAATACAGCCCTTACCCCAAGATGCCTCGTGTGGACTCTCTTCCACAAGCATGCCACATTCTTGCAACATTATTGCCAAATTTATCATAAAGGTTTTTTTTCTCTCTCTCTCTCCACGTGTCCCGTTCTTTCTGCCGGAGACGTCAATAACATTTTTCAGAATGACGTCAATATGGCAAAAACTTCGTTACCACCAGCTGCCACGCTTGCTTTTCCTACCGTCTGTTGCATCGCGGTATTTGTTTGCAAAATATGAAGAAAGATCCGCGTAAAATTCCTCCATTATTTTAAATATTTCATCTCCATCGTGTGTTATGGTTCTATCTTCCTTCGGGGGTTGCCAGTTGTGAATAACCGATCATCAACCTCCTATTAGCTGCGTTCATGCTCCCCACCCATTACTTCCAATGAAATCTTCAATCAGCTTTTCAGGTATGTTCTTGAATTTCACGTTGTTTTTCTCATCATTTAATGTATGTATATTGAATGTATTTATATTGAACTTATTCTTAGGTTTTTTCGGTAAAGTCACGTAGGTAAAACATTAAAATTAATAAAAGTAAAATAAAATAAAAAATATTAATTTTAATGTTTTACCTACGTGACTTTACCGAAAAAACCTAAGAATATGAATCCTTGCAGTCACGAAAGCTTCAAATCTAGAATATATTGAACTTGCTTCGCACCGCACTTTGCCTCAACCTGTCCACGGGCTTTATAAACAGTAACACCCCGATTTACATTTCCCCCTTTTACGTCGTTGGCAAATACGTCGTCACCTTCCTTACAAATGCCACGACCTGATTTGTGTCATCTCAACCCACATGTTGCCGACAGCAGCATCCGTCCTTTCTCGTATCTGTCGCCTCCACCTGCCCTGTAAATCGTTTTGATTAACATCGTTTCGACGTCAACGCATCCCCCGATGAGAACCACCGGTGTATTGCCGTGCCCATCAGCACGATATGAAGTTGCGGCATTATTTTAATCATTTTGTTCATCGAGGCATTTTTATTTAAAATCAGCTACCTGCCGATATTAACCAACGTCGGTTTATGTGCAATTGCATTGCACCAGCTGGCCATCGCTCCCCGTGTTGAACTTGCTGAGGACATAAGCCTCCGACAACCTCGGTTTTTGTCAATTAGAATCGCGTCAACTTTCATTTGAGTTTCTCGAATTTGGCGCCTCTATATCCATTTTCTAAATTCCTTCTTTGTAGATAAAAGGAATCCACCTACGTTTGAGGTGCAGAGGAAAAAGTACCAGACGTCATGCTTGAAGAAGTAAATACTGCCCATCACAGCATGAAAAAAAGTAATCTTCTAGCCCAGGTGGAATTGCCTAACGGTAAATTTCAGAGAAATGTGAGCAGTTGTTGGAACAAAATTATTCGAGAAATTGAGGAACTTTGTACGCGGAAATGAAATATCTTAACGATGAAATTTTGCACCAATCATTCATCCGTTCAAAAACGGTGATAAAAATGGACTAGAAAAATGTCACATTTGTTAACCTCATACATATTTGTTAACCTCATACATATTAATTGCACAGATCACTGGGAAAATAATCCAGGAAGATTTAGAGGCCAACCATCCAAATAAGCAAGCGGGGTTGAGTAAAGATGTCTCTACCATTAACCACATACAATCAATCAGATTCTGGAAAAGTCTACTGATTATATCAGACACCACATTTCTATGACTCCATGAAAAATGATGCTTCAAAATCTAACAAAACCGAGGCCTAAAATAAATAAAAAATATTTTGAATATAATCACAACTGGACAGGATGGCTACACTGAGACTGCACGAACTTTTTTTGTTTTCATTAAAAAAAACACGAGAAAGGGGATTTAGACAAAAGAGATTCAGATTCGGAGATCTGTTTAAGAAAATTGGACTCGAGAAATAACGGCATGGGCATAAAATGGAAAACACATTACCAGACAGGGACTTGGTGTTGACGGGCCATTGTGAAAACCAATGTAGACTGACTAGATGAGACGACCGAAGAACCGAACGAAGGCCCGTAAAGTTTGACTGAAGAAAAATTCAAGAAAAGGAAAAGTCATGTTTTTCCAAGTTCACTGAAAGAGTGCAGATAACAGTTGCAGGGAGACGACGGGAAACCACGTGCGCGTGTGCGTAGCTCTGCCAGCCGTGAGCACGGTTGGCTACGTACGATTAGCACGGCTGGCTCCGCACGGTGCGACAGAAGTTCAACATGCGTACGAACCAGGATCAAAATGATGATGCGAGACGAGTGACAGCAACAGCGGGGAGCATGCTCAGCAGCATGTCCACCACGGAGGCGGAGCGGTGAAATCGGATCGTGTGAAGGAAGAAGATGGATTGCTGCACCCGGGACCATCCAAGACAGTGGAATGATCATGGCCGATGACAATGATGTTGAGGCCTTGTTGCGTGGGTTCGTACATGTGCTGAGCCCATGGAGTGCCACGTCTGCCAGCGATCCACAGCCGCGGAAAACTCACACTTCGATGGATCGCGAACATTCGGCACCACCCGCGTAACATAACCCATCGCGCACGGGCATCGGGCTTTCACAATTGTCGTCCCTTCGCCTGAGAGAGCACGTGCAGTGGAGAAGCGCAAGGGAAGAGTCCACGCGTGTCTGCGTGTGTGTCACCATGCGTAATCGATGCACACAATACTGGGTGAACCATTTACATATGCCCCACAAACATATAACAAGAAACGTATAACAATCAATGTAAATACACCTCTTAAATAGCGGGGTATATGTAAGTGGCCAACCCAATATTCTTGATGTACACAAGGTCTGATTTGCATTAAGACGATGACGACAACGCACAACGTACGTTGAAACGACACAACAAGTGGACAAAACGAAAACACCCCAAACTCTCAGCAGTTAAAGTTAGCTCAAGTCTCACCTCCGTGTCCCTTGCGTCGAGTACGAACTCCTGAAAAAGCCCAGCAATTCGTCGGCTATGATCCCTTGGAAGGTGATGTTGAGGAAGACCACGTCCCCCGCACTGAAGCTCTTGTTGAGCAGAATGACGAAGAACTGGTGCTTGGGGTAGAGGAAGTAGTCCTGGATCTTGGTGCTGCTGTGCCGGCTCACGTTCACGGGGCTCAGCGCGATCCTGCTGATGTTGAGCCTGTCGCAGTGCAGGATGACGTACGGGGTGCTCCGCAGGCACTCGAGCACGACGCCCACCTGGCCCGCGTAGGTGAAGTTGTCCATGAACGTGGAGAGGCGCAGATCGTAGTGCCGAGGAGCCAGCGTGCCGGGGAGCCGCGCGTTCTCCCAGGGCTGGTTTTCCGCGGCCGGCGTAGCCGTCGTCGGAGAGGGGGCCGCCTCCGCCCGCTGCTGCCGCTGCCGGGCGGTCGCCGGCTGCTGGGTCTCGTCCGGCGGCGACGATGGCGGGGGACAGGCCTCGAGGTTGACGCTGAGCAGCACGGCCAGAATGGTGACCACGATGAGCGCGACGAGCGAGATGGCGAACACCATGACGAGGCGGCGGTGCACGGCGATGTGCCGCTCGCGCGTCCTCGGCCGCGTCGTGGCCGCGTCGGCCCAGTGGCTCGGCCGCCCGTTGTGGCTCTCGTCCGCCACCATGGGCATCATCGAGGTCGACTTGTCCGGGATCCTCTCCAGCGCGATCATGGCCGGGCTGTACATGGTCTCATCTGTGGGGCTGCGCTCGAGACAAGCGGTGCGAAAGGGCAGCGGCGGTGGAAACAGAAAGAACGAACGCTCGAAATTGAACTATTTGTGCCAGAATCAGTTCGGGAGTCATCACGTTTGCGAAGGAGGTTGAGGGAAAACCTGTGACCAAATCAGCCGGGAACGCACCCGATTTTGTCAGATCTCGGAAGCTAAGCAGAATTTTTGCTTGGGCAGTACTTGAACAAGTGTGATCACTCTGCGCAGCAGTCAATCATAACAGGCACAATGGGCAATAGAGGGCAGGGCAGCACAACCCAAGTCCCAACCGTCACCAACCCGCATTCACTTTGTGTGAAGGAATCCCGAAATAACCGCCACGGCCAACACTGGTTTTTTGAGAGGCGCTCATCCAGCAGTGAATTGGTAACAAATAAAACACAGGCTGCACGCATTCACGTGCATGGGCACGTATGGGTGGTGGTGGTGGTGGCAATGTGCTCAACTCACAATGAGAAAGCTTTTGAGGTCAAATCTTGGGTCAGGGATCAACTGAGCGTAGGCCCTCCTCTGTGGCTCATTAAAACGAGTAACCCTTTGGTGGGAAGATAACGGTTGTTTTTTCTTCGTGAGAGTTGGGCTCCATTGTGGGAATGTGAAAGGACTGGGGCAGGAACACACTTTGCCCGTGAATGCACGCAATCTTTGTGTTGTTCTTCCAGTGTTTTAAAGTGTACCGTCAATTGGCTTTTAAACCTTGGCAATGAGGCTTACAACAATGACATACAGCTGTAAAGATATTCCCCCGGGGTTTCCATCATCTAATTTTGAGCACTGTATTAATTCCCCAGAGAAATGGTCTACATACTAGGTAGCGATGTCAATTGAGCATTTAATTCTGTGTAAATTGTCTTCCACAGAGGATGGAGCTGCAGTGGCACAGTGGTTAATGCACTCCTTTACAGACTTTACACGAGTTTGACTCCCGGCCACACGGTTAACATCAGCGTGGGAGGAATATCTGAATTGGTCCCGGGTACACGGTAGTTCTGCCTACAACTAGCACTGACCAGCGTGAGCAACTATGGTTTGAACAAATCCCTTGACTGGCACGGCATTGGATGACCTTCAGTAGTGGACTGGAAGAGGGCTGGAAACTTGCTCGTAATAAGTCTGATAATCATTAAACTTCATAATCAACGTTTTTGGGTTTAGATCGCGTTATTTATAAATGTGTCGTAACCCTCCACCACCCGACACGGCCAATCAGTAAAAAAGTGTCACGTTGACAAATGACAAATTAGTTCACTGCTTTAGCCCACCGGTGTGTTGAAGCGCGAATTGCCCGTTGATGCTGGATGCAATTACCAGCGAAACGTCGTACTCAAATGGTAAATGTTGTGGTTTCACGCTTCAACACACCGGTGGGCTAAAGCAGTGAACTAATTTGTCTTTTGTCAACGTGACACTTTTTTACTGATTGGCCGTGTCGGGTGGTGGAGGGTTACGACACATTTATAAATAACGCGATTTAAACCCAAAAACGTTGATTATGAATAATATTGGTCGCGAAAGCCTACGTGTTAAATAATTAAACTGGTTCAGTGGCACACAGACCACAAGACTAACTGGCGAACGGCAGGCTTTAACGTGTTAATAGAATAACCGTCAAAGAAAAAAGACACGCAATGTAAATACTTTCACACAAGAAAGTAAAAAAATACTAATCGTACGTATGAAAAGCCATGCTCATTATAGAGTGTGAAATGTATCACATGTCTGTTGTCAACACTTTTTCGAAAATTTGACAACAAAAGTCATGCTATTAGTTTTTTTTCGGTAAAGTGACTTTACCGAGAAAAAGAAACAATAGTATGAATCCTTGCAGTCACGAAAGCTTCAAATCTATAAAAAAAACATGCTTTTTTATTACATTCCACACGACGACGAAGATGATGATGACGATGAGATGATGATGCGAAAAACAATCTCAATCGATGCCAAGGCAATGATCAATATCCCACTTGAATGTTTTATACCTTGCATTAAAAGGCAAACGACCTGCTCTTTGTGAACACAATGATGAATCTAATCAATGAGCACGTTCTGCTTTTACAAAGCAGATTTATGAGAAACCTTCAGTTGTCCACACAGTGAAGTACCCGGACAGCTCTGAGACTAATATTCGCGTTTCCTTTGAACTCGCTTCCTCTATCGCATTGTCAATGTTTTTGTTGTTCCAGATAACATGTTTTGCATTACAATACCGTGCATGCAAAACACCAACTGTGCCGACAGCCACACCACATCATCATCACAAAGATTTCCCGTTTCGCCTTAGGATATATACAGGGTGTTTCAAAATGATGGACCCAATTTCAGAGATATAGCGATTTCAAATCGGGTCCATTTTTTGGAAAAACCCTGTACTAGTATAAAGGCGCCAAGTGTTGTTTAGCTGGCACCTCTAAACACGCAAGTTCCGCTTACAGGCCAGGCCAACCTCCGCAGCTGGGGCCAACGTGACCACAACCCAGCCAAAAGGCGCACCTTTTGGCGTCATCTGGTCCAACCCATATGAGACTAGGCTCGAAGGAAAGCTGTCTCGGGTGTGGACCAATCAACTTCAAGGACAGTGCACATTATCAGAGTTATGTTCTTTTGTTTGTATTATGACTGCAGGTATTGCGGTCTATGCAAACATGACTCCTTGCAAAAAGGTGTCAGTTTTGTTGCCAGATAGAAGGGTAAAGAACCAATTATCATATTTTTACTGGCAAATGAGGTCCCCATAATGAATCTATGAATTTACCAATATAAAATAACTATGATAAAATGTAACTCCATATGGTAACCTAGGACGATATAAAACACCTTTATAAACTAATGTATCCTAACAATGTGGGTTTACAAGAGCAACCAGTGAGCGAGAACACATTGCGTCACGCATGCAAAGCATCCGTTTAATTTGTTTATTCGCTTGCAGTTACGAGCGAGCGAGGATGCCTCACAAATGTGTTAAAACATTGATGTTCACGATGCATACATTTTTTCTCAGAACCATGTTGGGTCAGGCAAGGGGGCTAAAACTAAATTCAAACAGAGTTGGTAGAGTAGCCAAAAAATGGTGACAACCACAGGTCTGAACGCAACTATATTTTATTTTAACAGGTAAGGCCCAATTTCATTGTCATTGGCGTGCATCTGCCACAGTGAGTCTGCAATGCGTTCAGACTTCACAATTTAGGACTCAATGTACTTGTAACCAATCTCACATACAATTCTAAATGGGCTGAGAGGTTATGAGAAGAAACAAATTGAGACAATTACTTCACATTAAGGGGGGGGGGGGGTGGAGGAGCACAGAACAAGGCAAGGGTGTGCAATGTGTATGGTTGTTATTCTTAGTTTTTTTCGGTAAAGTCACGTAGGTGAAAAATTCTAATTAATAAAAGTAAAATAAAAAATAAAATAAAAATCACGACGTTTCGGAGGCAACACAAGCTTCCGTCTTCAGGTGGAACCGTCACAGCACGATAGCTGTATCACTTGATACAGTGATACAGCTTTTATTTTATTTTTATTTTACTTTTATTAATTTTAATTTTTTACCTACGTGACTTTACCGAAAAAAACTAAGACTATTAATCCTTGCAGTCACGAAAGCTTCAAATCTAGAATGTATGGTTGTTGTTTTAAATTTAATAAAAACTAACCAGTAACTATTTTTTATTTTACCAGCTAAGACCCATTGAGCTCGTTTTCAGAAGCAACCTGGCCACTAATGATAGCTCAACGAAGTGGCTTATCACGTCTAAATGTACAGCAACCAAATACTCTAAACGCAAGCTGAGTCTAAATACGGAGGGGAAAAACCGGTGGACCCCGAACAAAATCCACGGAGAGAAAAAATCCAATAAAGCGCCCGCACCCCTGAGAATGCCATCATTGATACCGCAGCCTCGCCACGCGTGGCGTGCCCCCCTGGGTTTTGGCCACACGCCGTGGGCGAATGCCCCCCGGGATTCAGAGCCCTGCACGCCGCTGCTGTTCACAGCGACTGCCGCTGGTCGCCCGACTCCACCAAACAGACGAGCGCACGGCGATGATGACAATAATTAGCACCAATGATGATGACAATAATAAGCGATGATGATAATGATGATAAGCACCCATCAATGCTGACAGGCGCACGCAGGGGAGTGGCGTTAACAACGACAACAATTCACGCCCGTCCGCCTTTGTCTCTCCCAACACTTAACGTCCACGCTGCCAACAGGCGCCCGAGTCTATAGCGATGGCAGGCAGGTTCAGACCAGGTCACACTTTAGCAACACTTGCCACTATAATGCGCACCGGCTAACATAGCATGACAAAAAAACAAATGTCTCCCGTGTAGCCTGCACGGACTGTATGTGCAAGGTGATGTTTATGGATCACCCATTAAGGTCGGCACGGAACACGAGGGGATGAAATGGGCAAAACTACGCCCGACCGCCTTTGTATCCCCGGTGGTGATGTTTACACGCCACACCAAGGATACTCATTTTAACGCCGAGTCGATCTAGAAAAGTCCCAGCAACGGGCGCACTCACTCGAGCCGGCTCTGACCATTACGCCACCGCTCTCCAGCTGACGAGCACACACAAAGACAAAGATCCCCCGTATAGCCTGAACAGACTGTTGGGGCAAGTGCTGTTAGCGAGCACCTATGAAGGCTGGCACGGCACACGAGGGGGGTGGGTGGCCAGCACGATGCCCGGCCGCCTTTGTCTCCCCTGTGGCGATGTTGACTACACACCGTACTGGGTACTCGTTTGAGGCTGAGTCGACCTAGCGGAGGCCCATGACCGGTTCAGATAATCATCACCGGTGTTGGCCGTGAGCTGGACTCGAACTCGGGTCGCCGGGTTCGTAGCGCAGCGTAGCGCTAACCACGACACCACCGCTCCCCACAACCACACACTTAAACACACGCGCACGGCCATTCACACACAGACACGCACGCAGACAAAGCCACTCGCCGCGCCGAAACACACCGACGGTTCATATATTTGCAGTCGATGTTAGAGAGCCGTGACCGAGAATCGAACCCAAGTCAGCCGGGGTCCGTAGCGCAGTGCGCTAACCACGACTGCGATCCAGACGTTCTACACCAACACGTACACGTACACACGCGCGCACAGTACTTGGAGAGTTAGTATTCGCCCTCAGTAGTAAAACTACCAGCCGGCTCGAACTGGAACAGTATCTGTACTGCTCGTCTTGCGCTAACCACTGCGCCACCGCTCCTCGCCAATATGAACACACACGCGCGCGCGCGCGACACCCACCCACACATGGGAGTTTAAAGACGCATCAAGCTGAAGCGTGGATCGTGCTCTCCAGCCGTAAACAAACACGCGCAGAAAAAAATACATCGACCAAACGGATCGCGAAAGACGTTCGCTTTCTGAGCCTGCGCGCTAACCATCGGCGCCACCGCTCCCCCCAATATCAACACGAGTACCCACGGCACAGCTGAGTACGCAGAGTCAAGTTACAGGCAACGGGGGTGGGGGGTAACGCAGTGAGAGAAGTGAAACTACCAACCGGTACTGAAAGAGGACCAACTGCTCCTCGTGAGGACGCAGCATGCCGCACAGCCCGTTCGCGATGGAGCGCATGGGAACCACGCAGTCCGGAGCCTCCTCTCCCCTGATGCGTGCGGGGAACTGACGGCGGCGGCGTTCGGGGTGTCGGGGGGTGTGTGTGTGGATGATGTTGGTACACAAGTCACCGGGGGCTAGGAGAGGAGAACGAGGAGTGCGAGCGAGAGAGCGAGCGGCGCGCTCTGTCAGTCTTCTATATATATGAATGAGGGCTGGGGTGGCTGGGTGATCTGGGTCGGTTTGGTTGGGTTGGGTGGTTGGAGGATGAAGGGGTTGGGTCGGGGCGGGTTTGATGGTAATGCAACCCAGCGCAGACGCGTGTGTGAATGTGCAAGGCGTGTGCGTGCGAGCGCGTGTCTGTGCGTGCGTGTGTATGTGCGTTATAGCACGGGCGAGTTAACGTGTCTGTATGTGTGTAAAGTTGCGTGCGTCTGTGTGTTTGTGTGGGGAGCAGGAGTGTAGCTGTTAGCAGCGCGCTGCGCTACGAACAAGTTCGATTTACGCTCGCGGACAACGACCGGTTGATGATTATCTGAACCGGTCCTGGGCCTCCCCTAGGTCGACTCAGCCTCAAGTGAGTATCTGGTGCGGTATGTAAACATGGCCACTAAGGAAGACAAAGGCGGTCGGGCGTGATGCTGGCCACTCACCCCCCTCATAGGTGCTCGCTAACAGCACTTGACCCAATAATATATGAAGGCTTTATGGGAAATCTTTCCCTTGTATGTTTGTGTTTTTTTATTTGTGTTGTGTCAGTGTGCCTGAGTGCATGCCCAAGCGTGGAGCCCTTGAAAGGAACATCTGCGCCGATGTGAAACGTTCATGCTGACCTGCCTACATTCCCTCCTGGTTTAACCAGACTGGATTACGTGAGGAGCTCACACAGATCCTTCAAAGATCCCATCATAAGTGAGTTCCTCCGGCAGGCGAGGTTGCTTTGGTTGGGTCATGTCGCCCACATTCCCAGCCACCGCATGCCCAAGCGGCTTGTACTCTTAGATTTTTTTCGGTAAAGTCACGTAGGTAAAATATAAAATTACTAAAAGTAATAATGGAAATAAAATAAAATAATAAATCACGTCGTTTCGGAGGAAACACAAGTCTCCGTCATCAGGTGGGACCGCTTCTGTTTGGCCGGATCGAGGGGGCTAAACGGGCGCGGCACGGACTAGAGAAGAGATGGAGCTGATGTGGTACAGGAAGATGTGGAGCTGAGTGGACTTGCCGATGACTGGTACCGGCGGTGTCAAGATCGGCCTCTGTGGAGGAGGCTCGTGAAGGACGCTAATGGGCAGTTGGGGGCAGTCGCCCTCCAGCAACAACGGAGGGCGGAGGGAATAACGCTGACAACAACGAGCGGAGGGCGGGGCGGATAAAACGCAGCAAGTTGGCACATGAAAGAGCACAGCTGGTGCATTTACCAGTCATCTCACTCAGTCAACTCATGGCACCTGCGTCTGTCCCTTGACATTCTGTCAGCAGCGAGTCTTCGACACTGCACGTGACGGCCTCAAAAGTGCACCTAGCCTGGCACAAGTGCCGTGGTGACGTCAACGGACTTGGTGGCGAACCGCGGCTGTTGTGAACAAGTGTGTGGGTGTGAAGTCTGTATATGTATGCATACGGGGATCGATGGTGTAATGGTTAATACACTGCGCTACGAATCCAGACACCCGAGTTCGATTCCCGCTCACGACCAATACAGTCAATATTTGAGCCGGTGCTTGGACTCCCCTAGGTCGACTCAGCCTCAAATGAGTACCTGGTTTGGTGTCTAATCAATGCTACAAGGGAGACAAAGGCGGCCGGGCGTGGTGCTGACCCACCCACCCCCTCGTGTGGCGTTCTGGCCTTCATAGGTGCTCACTAACAGCACTTGCCCCTACAGTCTGATAAGGCTATACGGGGGTCTTTATCTTGTTGTGTATTTACAGTATTTGTATACGGTGCTACTAACCCGGCGACCCGAGTTCGATTCCCGCTCACGGCCAACATCAGTGGCGAATATCTGTACAAAATTCTGAGCCTCCTCTTGGTCGACTCAGCCGTAAATGAGCAGGCGGGGAGACATACACTCGCAGACGTGGTCCTCGCCACCCCACCACCCTCATGTGTTTATCACTCGGCTTAAATAGGTGCTCGCTATCTACATACACTATACTCTACGGTATAGTATATGCAGATTCCAACAGACTAAAAGGCAAAACAGTATCTTCGTGTGTTTTGCATTGTCTGACTTGCCAGGTGTATTGGTGTGTCAGTGTCTGCTGTGTGAGGGTGCGCGCCTTTAGCCCTCACTTCACGACCTGTCGCTTTACGTGTCAGCACTGGAGAGACAAAGACGGTCGGGACAGTCCACCGGCCACACCACTCGATTGGGAGTTGTGCTGGTCTTAGCACCTGCAATCTCTCTCTCGATATATAAAAAGAAAAAGGCTAAAAGGTGAATATGTACGTGCATATGTGTTTGTATCTGTGCCTTTGTGTAAACGAGCTTCATTAATGAAATGCGTGGTCACTTACATTAACATGATCATTTATTTCGATTTAAAGCTTCGTGACTGCAGGGACTCATCTTCTTGGTTCTTTCGGTAAAGTCACGTAGAAGGAAAGAAAGTTTCAGACGCTGTCTTTCCGACAGCCCTGTTCTTCACCTGAGGACGGCTGCTTGCGTTGTGGCCGAAACGTCGTGAGAATTGTAATTTTATTATGTTTTATTTTTATTATTTTATTATTTCCCTTCTACGTGACTTTACCGAAAGAACCAAGAAGATGCTAATTTCTCTCATATTAACATAGCCACCTCCGTGCGCTCGTCGTGGTGGTCGCCCTCCAATCCTTCATTAACATGCTAATTTCTCACATTAACATCACTAGCCCCGCCCACTTCGTGTATGACCCTTGGGCTACACCCATTTCAAACCTTTAAAAACTGTCTGCCTCAGCAGCTTTCCTCTCTTTTTTCAGCCTGATGATGACCGCTTGCGTTGCGATCGAAACGTCGTAGTTTTTTGTTATTTTCGTTATTTTCTTTGAACCTATCTACGCGACTTTTCAGAAAGACCCAAAGAATATGAATTCCTGCAGTCACGAAAGCTTTAAGTCAAGATTTAACGTGTTTTCAATCTAGATTTTAAAACACATAGCTGCAGTGGCTTCCAAATAAGTAGTGAAGCGATAACTTTTCATCGAAATAGTTTGCAGTTGTGCACGGATGGAATATCTAAGCCGATGATGACATCTGCTCTCATGTTGCAGATCACCAAAATAAATAGAAGAGCACGGTTTGTCCCTTTATGAATTCACAATTGCTCCGAAATGAATGTGTAGCCCTACGCATGTAGATGAATGGTAAACACAGATCGCGCTATACTGTAACGCCATAAAACAGCATGTGCTGTTGCACTCGGAGCATTGCAGGAATTGACAAAGACAATTTTGCTCAAAAAAAAATCCATGCATTCTGATGGACAAGTTCTGCTGTGGACGCGTTTGATTACTGGCCATGGCTGATATCAGTCGCAGGTGATACCCGAGTCAATCCTGCCCCCCCCCACCACCCTCTTTTTCACGACCGTCATCATGTCGCACTGAGCTATGCAGTGAAGTATGGTCAAACAGACCCGTCCCCACCCAACAACCGACATGGCGTGGAGAGACCTTAAACCACCATTGGATGAACAAATTGATAAGAATTGAATATAAAGCATGCATGTTTGAAAGCTATGAATGTAGAAAAGTACACTGAATATAGAAATCACAATGCCGCAGTGTTTCTTCCCAGCAGGGTAAATGGCTAGATACATTTCAAATGTTACAACTAAACTCAACTATTTTTATTTTAACAGGTAAGGCCCACTGAGCTATACAGCTCTTTTTTCAGAAGCGACCTGGCCACAAATGATAGCTCAATGAAGGGGCTTATCACGTGAACAATGTATAGCAACCAAATACTCTAAACGCACGTTTCTAAATGTGGAGGGAAAACGAAGAGGACCGGATAAAAATCCACGCGACCACGGGGAGAACACGCAAACTCCAAATACACGGTGGTAGGGATTGAACCCACGACCTCCTGCATAGCCGGCGAGACAGATAACATCTCGCCACAGTCGATCTCGAGTTCGCACGTAATGTTAGCGACGTGTGGGTCCTCCCACCTCCTCCGAGAATATCTGTCCAGCGTGAAAGAGCAGGCAAAACAACCTCTCAGAGGGGGGGGGGGCTCTCTAACACCCCCTCTAGCGGAGGTCCTTCTGCCAGCATTGGCGCGAGTTAGGAATTGCAGGGCCGCGCCTCTGTCACATTGGGTGGGAATGTCACGCGGCGCGGGGGCAAACGGCGTCACTGGCTTGAGGGATTTTTTTCCCCGCTGCTGAATTGGAATCGATACGGGGGGTGTGTTGTCCTCCCCCCCCCCCCCACGGTCCCTCTCCAATCTCACCATAAAACAACAATGCCCAAACACTTTTGATTACTATTTGTTGTTTAAGATATAAGGCGTAGAACAACGATTTCCTTTGCTTAATACTCATTGTGGGTACAAGTCGTGTCGGAGGAGTGTTGAGCACCGTGTGACAGCCCCAGTGAAACTCAAGTTCGACTCCCAACCATGGCTAACGACGTCAACGACCTGACCAGCATGGTGAAGCACCGTCAAACAACACCCATGACTGACATGATGGCATGGTGAGGGCTGCATCCAGCAGTGGGTTGGCAAAAGGTCTTGCGCAACTATCATACGTGGCTGCATTGTTACAGACGTGACAACGTTATTTTATTAACCTACTAACAATGTGGAGCCAGACGCCCCAGGATGCACACGTCTCGAGCATACATTAATGTTTGCGTATGATTATCACGCTTTGAGAATTGCATGACAAATTCACTTCCTTTACCAATTAAGCAAACGTGGTTGTGTAGAATTATATATTATTCATAACCTATGATGCTGAAGCTGTTAACACATTTATTATAGAAATTGTGATTTAAACTATCAAAATATATGTATAGCGTACATGTGTATAATTCAATCAAAATATATAAGATACTGCTTTTGCAATGATGCACAAGCATGCATATAAAAACAATTCATTACGTTCGTCATCAACGCTGTCCTTATAGCTTGCCGATGTGATTTCAGCTCGTACCGCGTGTTT